GAACTACGACTTGCCCAAGGTCATCCAGCAGGTGCAAGTGGAGGAGCTGGGAATCAAACCTGGTTCTCCCAGATTAGAGTCTGCGCACTTAACCACTACACCAAAGAGAATTTATTTGCACCTTTACTGTCTTCGGTATTGAAGAGGGGGACATGTCCCAGGTCAGGCTGGAGAGAGAGAGAGAGAGAGAGAGACACGCACTCACAAGGCAGAGCAGAGGAAGCTGCCCCAATGCAAGCAGCTTCGATCAGTATTGAATAGGGGGACATGATCCCAGCTCAGGCTGGAGAGAGAGGCAGAGACCAGACTTGACCCAGAGAGAGAGAGAGAGAGAGAGACGCACACTTGCAAGGTAAACTAGAGGAAGCTGCCCCAATACAGGCACCTTCCATCACTGAAACGTTTTTCCAACGAGATGCAAATCTAAAACAAAACAAAACACCAGCCTGTCCTTTCTGGGTGGGTTTTGGTGGGGTTTGCCAGAAGTCACTGATGCAAAAAACTTAGTTCAGATTACAGAGCAGAGGCTTTGCTGAAAATCCATTTTGCTTTCCCCAAAAAATGTGCAGAAGAAACTAGTTTTATTAGGAATAGTGGGGGAAAAGGGAATATATGAGAGAGTACTGGGATGCTTATGAAGTAGTGTGAACACGAGGAAAAAAACGTTTACATCGGGTGATGTAAGTGGATTTTTAAGGTAATATGAAAGACCCCTAGAAGATATCAGTTGAAGACTTCTAAAAGAATTTCAAAGAGCAGGCATCCATGGGAGCTCTTACTATTGTCAGGACAAAATGCTGACCTTGAACAAGTGCATGAATTCTTCTGAAACATGACAATTTAGACATCACAAGCTCTACACTGCAAACATTTTTATCGACCAGTAAGACAGCATTCACAAGTGCACATGTAACATTATTTTTATGTTTTGTCGAACACAAAGAGTTCCCAGCCTCTGTGTAAACAAAACTTGAATACACGTGAAGCTGCCTTATGGTGAATCACACCATTGGTCATCAAGTTCAGTATTGTCTACTCAGACTGACAACAGCACTCCAGTGTCTCAGGCAGAGGTCTTGCAGATCACCTACTGCCTGGTCCTTTGCCTGGAGGCACCAGGGATTGAACCTGGGACCTTCTGCATACCAAGCAGATGTTCTACCACTGAGCTGCAACCCCTCCCCTTCTACCATTCTGCAGAATGTATAAACTGGAATTGTTCAGGAGGGCATTTTTATAAATTGAATAGGGCTGTAGTGACATGGAATTATTAACAAGGGTGACTCTACAAAGGGGCAAGGCAGTCTTGTTATATGCACTATAGTGTTTTCACAGCTTTGTTTTCTGATTCCTGTAATCCAGGTTTTCATTTCTTATATGCAGGGCTCTAGTCGGGGGGGAGCTCTCAGGTACGGAGCTCCGGAAGAGAACCTCTAGGGGGCGGGGCTGTCACGTGGTGAAGCCCCGCCCCCTTCTTTACCCCGCCCTCTGCTTCGATCCTCATTCCGTTTGGGAATGAGGATGAAGCAGGAGGGTAAGTAGCCGGGCCTTCTGACACACTTCCGGTGATGTCAGGGGGTGTGGCCTTCTGTCACTTCCGGTGATGTCAGGGGGCGTGGCATATGCAAATAAGTTATGCTAATGAGTTATGCTAATGAGCTCCGGCAGCTCTTTTTCTACAACAAGACCCCTGCTTATATGCCTTACACTGGTTTTACTGCATTGTCTTCTAACTCTGTAATCCAATCCTAGTGAACTGTATATCGTACTACTTAGACTGCTCCTATTGCACGGTTTTAAATTTTGTAATCCAGTTTGAGTCCCAGTACAAAAGACAGACTAGAAATAAAGTAAATAAATTGTTCACCATCAATTTTCCTAATTTCTTTTACATGGATTCCCATGCTGCT